CCCCTGTGGTAGCTCCAAAAAACGTATAAAATATGGATGTAGCTTTTGTATCTATAAAGTAAAGCCAGCGCCAAAGTGCCTTAAATCTGTGGTTGATACCTGTGGTTGTAAAAAGACTTCTGGTCCTACAGAAGACAATGGGAAACCAACTTTTCACTTATTTCCTGTTGACATACTGAATAAAACTTAAGTCTAATTTATAAATCCTGGTCGCACTATGAAACAAGCTTTATCCACAGAATTCCAACAGGCTGACAACTCAGGCCTCAAATGCCTGAATTGCTCAACTGACATCAGGGTGCTGATTACATCTGATTATTCAAATAAAACGAGAAACTTGTAAGAGACTGATGACTGTTCATTCTCATTCTGACAGGATGAGCCCACGATGCTAACAAGCTCCCGCTACCTTTTTTAGTTAAATAACAGAAAAGAATGTCATTAATCAAAGGTAGTCACTGCCTGAGGGATATAACCCCCCCCCCAAAAAAAACCCTTTGGTTCCCATTTTGTTAGTTTTAAATGTCTTTATTTTAATGACTATCACCTGATAAAGGTAATTTTCCTTGCTTGTTTTTTGCAAGCTCATTTTTGTTAAACCAGCTTTTTTCAAATCTACTCAGGAATTTTTTTTTCCTAATATTTTAATGAGCTGTTTAAAACCCAGACAGAATACCATGGGTGCAGTGTTTCATGGAAATGTTGTTGCACTCACACTACAAACAACGTGCAGTCAGATGAAAAACAGCGTGATTGGAATTGAACGACCATTTGTTTTACTGAGCTCTCCTATTTTATTCAAGCCATGTTGTTAGAGGTTGTGTTCAGTTCTTCTTACCATCTCTTATTTTACACAAAAGAAAAGGTAGGCGTAAGAAATGTCAACTGTGCTCCCCACGATGGCAGTTTGAGTAAATCATAAATTGTTTACTGCTCTTAAGAAAAGCGACGAGAAAACCTTAAGAAACAAGAAAGAAAAGATTTTACTCAACTGCTTTGTGATGGTTCGTGGAATGGCTCGGCACAGTAGAGTTGTGTAGATTTAACGAATATTCCTTGTGATGTTTGTCCAGTGATGTTCACACAGTGTTCCTGTTGTGCTGCATCCACTGGCAGTGTGTTCTCGCACACTCTTTCTTCACAGTTAAATGAGTGGGTCTGCACACACAAGAATGTTGAATAAAATATAACACTGACACAAATATTTTTACACGTGGCCAGGAAATGTTATGTGTATGGCTGACTATGAGAGCATGGGATAGCAAAGTATCATATCGTATAATATGTATTTACTCTCCTTTTCAAATCCTCCCGATAACCAAAAAACTATAAAAAAAAAAAAAAGGGATGTCTAATGGGATGTCATACCAACAGGCTAAGAAACAAAGACGTATTTATGAATTTGGGATCCAAAATTGAGCTTTTCAGCAGAAAAATATTTTGTTACAAGCAGTAAGAAGAAGAAATAAATCAAACATAAAAATGTCTATTTTATGCCACTATATTTCTGAGTTTAGCTGTGTTATAGTAAAGACATGACCAGTATTATGTTTTCAAAGGGCCTTAGCAAAAAACAAAAAAACAAACCAAAATGCAGGAGCTTGCTTAGTGTACTTCCTACAAAAGATTTGGTGTGCAACAAAAAGCACTTTGCTTTTTAACGCATATAAGTGAGATTTAATTGACTCTAGTTTAAAATACACTTTATGAATTATGCTCATGCTACCTCCCCAAAGGCGCATTTCAAAACTGTTGCTAACATATTTCTAGCAGCTAACGAAACGAAAAGATTTCCTGACTTTGGTGAAATCCAAAGTTTCTGGATAGCTAGCAACATTTTTTTTGGCATTAACTAGTGATACAGCATCAGTACGTCCTGTTTCTGATGACCACATATGAAAGGTTTTTTTACTGTTTGTTCAACTTTGTAACAATTCCTTAATATGTTTGCTTTAAAGGAGAAAAGAAAAAGAAAAAAGGAAGACAGAACTGACCTGATTGAGGATCTTGACTCTAAAGAAAGAATCCAGGCTGCCATTGTCTTTAAAACATTTCTTTCTATTTTTTTCCATCATCTTTTGGCAATGAAAGAAACTGGGATTATCAAAGCTGATATGGACCTTGTTATCTCGCTGGGCCGTGACGTTAACAGGTGGAAGATCCAAATAACCTGGAAACCAACAGGAACAAGTTTTAATCAGAAGTCACTTTTGATTACAAGGACGGTCAGAAGTTCAGCATTTGATCAAATGTTACCGATCCCTTCTTGAGCAATGGTGTTTAAAAAGGAACCTTACTATATCACAATTAACATGACCTTTTGAATTTGTGATATTATGTCTGTGTGAAATTCTGTGATAGCGTGTGAACTCTTTAAGCTATGGCCAAAAACAATGCATAGTTGTTTATTTATTTTTATATAAATCTATATTTCTCTATATAGAGATTCTATATGTAAATAGATATATGTGACAGATAAAGGCACATAAAAATAAATACATAAATATATATTTCCCTATACACACACAGACAAACACAGACACACTCACACTTTGTTTCAACTACATTTTCGTGGAAATAGGTGAAAGTGATTCCATCGTCTGACGGGGCAGGTTCAGACTCACTACCGTTAACCACAGCAGTTACGGTGACGAAATAGCTGTCGTTTGGGTCTGAGAGGAACGACAGATCGGCTTGAAGAGCTGGAGTCATCAACGTACGGGGAGCACTGAAGAAACAAATGAGAAAATGTAGTTTTAAAAAAAAAAAAAAAAATGTAGTTAAAAACTTTGAAGAGACCTTAACAAGCAAATGACTCTTGAGTGACATTAAAAATACAGTAGACTGCAATTAAAAAATAAAAAGAATTTATCTTTATTGCAGCTTTAAACACACTTCTGATTGACAGTGTATATATATGCTTAGGTTGATAAGTGAATAATGACAGATATTTGCCTCTGTACACCTCCTCGGTGGATTGAAGTGCAGACTGTCATGGGCTTTCACAAAAACGTAACAGTTTTAAATACATTTTTATCCATTTTTTTCTTATACAAAGTTTTTGTCTTATCACTGATATTCTCTGAAGTAGAGCCAGAGTATTTAATCCAAGGAGGACAACTGTAGTGTACCTTTTTTAGAGGCTCAAAAATAACTAGAGACTAGAGAGATGATGATGATGATGATAATGGATTGCATTTATATAGCGCTTTGAGACCCTCAAAGCGCTTTGCAATTCTATTCATTTACTCTCACATTCACACACTGGTATAGGCAAGCTACAGTTGTAGCCAAAGCCTCCCTGGGGCAGACTGACTGAAGCGAGGCTGCCATGTTGCGCCATCGGCCACTCTGGCGATCAGTAGGCGGTAGGGTAGGTGAAGTGTCTTGCTCAAGGACACAATGACTAAGACAGACAGAGCTGGGGATCGAACTGGCAACCTTTCAGTTACAAGATGAGCTTTCCAACCCCCTGAACCACGGTCGCCCGATTATCATCTCCTTGAGATTGTTCTTAACTTGGTTAGATGTTATGAAGCCGTTTTATTTTCCCATGAAAAACAAATGTAGTCATCATGCACTTTAGTTGCCATCCTTGGTCTTTTGGGCCTTTTGGCATTGCTGAACAGGCCATTGCATTCATTCTCTTTAACCTCCTAAGACCCGAACTCTTCCACGACATGCATTTTTAATTTATCTTTGATATTTGGGCTGATTGGGGCCCGATGAATGTAAAAACAAAGAATTACTAGAATTTTTGTTGTTTTTTTTTTTACCTTATTTTTGTTTTTAAGAAAAATGAGAGCCACAAATGAGGATATTTATTTAAAGTTTTGATAGAACAGTAGCAGTATCATGTCCTCGTAAGTGGATATCAGGCCCATGTAGAGCAAAATTGAGTATTTTGGTCTAAATAACCCAAAATGTGATGTCCACATATGTGGACGCCAGGTCCTAGGAGGTTATGGACTAGTTTAGTGATTTGGCTATTAATTAAGATTTTGCTGTCTCTCTGGTGTATTTATTTTATTTTCGTTATGGTGTCTTTCATATGTATTAACATCTCTTTGAACCAAATATAGACAATTCCAGTCAACGGCAAATACAATATAAATTGAATCAATTCAGCTTAATTTGTTACAAAAATGGCTTTAATTCCTAACTAACAATGCAAGATTTCTATAAAACCCCTTAAAAGCTGATAGTGTAACTGCATTTGGATTGCGTTTCTTTAAATCCACTGTGGTGACACGCACGCACACCTGTCACCACAGTGGATTTTTTTTTAATTTTTTAACAGTGCATTGTGTTTTGTGTCCTGATTGGCTGTAGACCAGATTTGAAAACAAGAGAGAAAAGTTTGAAAATGTTCATGCATGTCTGAGAAAAGCATATAAAGTGTGTAGTGAGGGGCTTTACAGTCTTACAACATCTATAATATTTGTAAAAAATAAAGTTGGCTACTTTGCGGATTTTGCCTATTGCGGGGTATTTTTAGAAGGTAACTCCCGCAATAAACGAGGGACTACTATATCCCATGACACAGAAACTAAAATTGAGGTATAGAAAAAAAGGTTTTAGATTAAGATACTTGAAGTGGATGTAAAACTGATTTGATTGTTTTTAACATTAAGTTTCATGTAGATCACTCCTCTACTTTTGAGATTTCATCTAGGTTCAAACATATATTTCAAATTAAGATATTATAAAATTCTGTCCTATTCCTATGTACTTTCAGGGCCTATAATTTACATTTTTTATAGTATGAAGGTAAAATGTTGCCAGGGCTCATAATTAATATACTCTTCCACAGAGAAGGGCCATAGCACAACGCAAGGTATCAGGAGTATGTATCAGCTGTAATGAGCATACAGGGCCCCACACAACTTAAGGTTTCTAACCTAACATTCTTGTTGTGACATAATAGTGCACCACAACCACACTAATCTTTGAAATATTAATTATTTTTATTTGAACAATTAAGATCCTCAAAACATGTTTTTCTCCCTCCGTATCCAATAACCAGCAAAAGCACTTTGATGATTTGTCTCCATCCGAATACAATAATTTTCATAGTATGTGTAATTAAACTGTTAATTTTCAATGTTATTTTAGTTTGTTTTAAAGCATCTCAAGACAGACTGGCTGGTAAACAAAAGAAATTCATACTTTTGATATGCGCCAATGTCCAATCTGAATAAGAGCCCAGTTGTGTCTTCAGGGTAGCTCCACTTTAGCACGTTATGGAAATTTTGACACTGAAGTGTTACGTTCACTGGTGGCAGCACTGTGGAGAAAAAAAAAGACAACATCAGCAAATCACTGTTAGAAATGTGTTGCTTTGGGAAGCATTAGCCTATTGATTCAACATTTACACCCCAATTGATGATTTTAGTTTCCCTATACATTAAAGACTTCATGAACATTTAGTTACTAAACAGGTTCTCTCTCAGCCGTCACACTACCATTCACTTACCTACACTCACAAACCACTAGAGGGCATAGTGTGAAAACTAGTGCACCTGATACTGCTGATGGAACAATTTCTGTGTGGTTTCCTTTGTTCTAATTTGTGCCTGTTTAGCTCTACTAGTCCTATATCTTCCTGCCTGAGAGATGATGCAATTCTTAAAATAAATCAGGAGGACGAAGGAGAGTGGAGGCCCCAGAGCCTCCTCCCGATGTGCCCAGAACATCTCACTCAGTAGGCTGCCAGGGGGCATCCTACTCAGATACTCAAACCCCCTCAACTCGAACCTTTCAAAGTGGAGGAGCAGTGGAGAGTAGGGCACAGGATAAACGTCCAATCCAACACTTGCCATGACTGTAAAACAAGATTATTTTTAAACTGCATTTTAAGATGAGCTTAGTTAGAGGTGTTGAATAACTACACATAACAAATGTTAAGGAAATCTGTTTATATTTCGTGTGAGGAGTGCTAAGAAATAACAAGAGAATTCCAACATGTAAACTGAGATATGAGAAAGAGCTTAAGGTCACTCTGGCACAGTACCCCACTTAACTGTAAGGACTGTCAGAAGCTTACAGACAGACAAGGCCGTGAGAAAACAATGGTCAGATCTGCAGTGCCTTCTGCTAGTCACTGTGACAGTGCACACGCGCGCACACACGCACACACACACGGAGCCTCCAGACAGCTATAAATCAATAATTAGCTAAGAAAACTGCTAAAACAAGTGTATATAAAAATATTTATGTCAGAGTGACAAATGAAAGTAAGGACGTCTTATGTTCCTGCTGCCTTGTGCCTCCATCTGCTTCTCGGGTGAGAGGGAGGGACTAAGATGGAACAAGAGGATGTGAAGATATAAACTAGGAAATGAGAAAGGGTGAGTCACTCTGGTACAGTACCCCACATAACTGTGAAGACTGTCAGAAGCTTAAAAGATTGCGAGCAAAGTGCAGGACCGTACCAATGTTTATAAACAAGACCATCAAAAAAACAGAACAAACACTTCACTGATATAATCTGCAGCACCAAAAAAAGAAAACAACAAAAAGCATAAATTTGCAGCATTGCACAAAACTCATTTAAAAGCATGACTAATTAAATCTCAATAGAAATTCTTTACCCAGAGCATGCTTATACAGGCCTGACACTTTACCACACCTACAACAGACATGCTTCATCACACTGCACGGTTAACCACACTTCCCTCCAAACATCCATGCCAGCTACGAATAAATTAAGTTAGATTTATTTATAAATTATGAAGCATTTTCTGGTTGGGGGCATAAATGTTGGGAATTAGACGCACATGGCATGACGATGCTTTGAAGTCTGTTAATTTCCCTGACAATACAAATAAAGCTAGATGTGTTAATTCAAACAAGAGTTAGAAAAAAAAAAAAAAAAAAAAGGTCAGTGTTTGTGACTCAGAGATTCAGAAGCTGAAGCTGAAATTGGATTTTAAATCTCATGGGAATTACTGAACATGCCATGAGAGTTATGAGTCACATTGTACATTTAAGAGGAGGAGGAGAACCCCCCCCAAAAAAAAAATACCACGTACATATCAGTTTCCCTTCCTCTGTGAACAGACATTCAATCACATTCGCAAAGTAATACCCGCCCACGAAGGCAAATTTAAATGTTTAGCTGAGATGTTGAGAGTGAAAGAAAAATCACTGGTGGGAGCCTACACACTGTAAAGAAGTGACAACCGCAACAGTAAAATTGGCGGCTGAGGGTTGTCACCACAATCTGACACATGCACATACTAAGAAAATGAAATGAAAGTGTTTCTAACAGTTTCAACACCGTTTACAGGTCGGACACTGAAAATGCAGAAGGCTTTTAGTATTGAGCACTATAGATAAATAGCATAAGACGCCAGCAACTTAACAGTTTTCACCAACAAGGCCACATCCCACTTCAACCAACCAAAAAGAAAAAAAAAACCCAAAACATAAATTAAAGTAAAATAAAAACCACTGATTATGCAAACTGCTTTGCAAGCCCTGCTGTAGTCCCCGCCTTCCATTTGTTCATTTAAAATTTGGATTTAAAAACTGTAAGACAAAAGACAAAAAATAAAACCCTACAGCAGCTTTCCGGATGACTTCAAACCATACTGGGGGAAATTACAAGATTGAGTTAGTGAAGATAACAAATAGAACATACAGTAGCTGGCAGTGCTCACACACTTGTGCTTACAAAGCAAAAAATGTAGCAGAGGCAGGAAGAGAAAGCAGATGGCATTTGAACTGAAAATGAGGTTACTTGTGGTGTGGAAAGTACAAAGTGACTGAAAACCTGAAGTGTGCTTTCAAATTTATTCAGAGAACAGTCATTCAAATCACGTAGGTTTACAGATACAGAGACTTCTTCATCTTAATTTTAGTACCCAACAGCATTCTGACTTTGCAAATGCACGTTCATTCCAGCAAAGCTCACTTAGCACCTTGCATAACATCCAAACGCAGACTTTTTTTCCAGCCAGAGGCACTGAACAACGTCAAAATATTTTACAGGAGGAAAGAACGAAAACAGATAAAGAGATCGACAGGGTGATAGACATACTCTGAAACTGCTTTTTTTTCTTTTTTTTTTAAAAGTCCCCCCCAACACACATATAAAACACATTTTAAACCATTTATCTAAATTACACAACCCGCATGGCTTTCCTGTCTGCAGAGTATCAGCCATGTTCATTTTGTCAACAAAAAAAAAAAAACAACAACAACAACAAACATTGCCAGCACTGCTGTAAGGCTTCATTACACCAAGGTGAAGTCAAGAACGAATACAGTTTATGCAAGTACTCTTGTCGTCTTAAAACGTACTTTCCTTGTTTTAACCACCATCAGACACAAGTACATTATCATCTCCAGAAGACAGCAAAAAATACAACTACAAAATGTTTGGTGACCATTATTAAACAAGAGAAATAGAAGAACTTACTAACTATTCTGTGTTAGACTGGTTAAGTGTAGGTCAACAAGCAGGAGAAACAAGCTAAGCCAAAAATAACTACAGCCACTAGGAGTCTTGCGTGGAAGTCGGTAATACAAGTAAATGAGGTCTAGTCTAAACTCCCTGGTTTTGGGTGGGATGCCATTTCAGAAGAATAGATCAGATTCTAGTGAAAATCAACTCAGTTTGTCATGACGAAATCCAGCTGGCTGCCTACCTCACAGATGTGGGAAGCAGTAATGACTTTTTTCAGGAACAGTGTTGCATCAGAGTAATGTTATTTAGGAAATCAATATAGTTACTGTCTGTTAGCAAATTACTGCTATGACAGTATTTCACAACATTTGACATTCTCCTAATACAAAGTTTTCATACTGGCATGCTTTGGACAAAATATACTCTGTGAATGATAAATGTATTGTTATCTAAATCTGATATCTGATCTATATGTTGGTCAAGCTTGAATAACTTTTCCAGGAGAATCCGTTTTTGGTGTACGAAGAAGAAATTCATGACTTAACCATTGCTAAACGTCAGAGACAAAGGATCTGATCTGACTAATTATGATACCACTGTGAGTAATCATGAAATATGCAACAGAACCACAAAACCTACCAAATAACTTCTATACTGCTGCTCAGGTTTAACGCTAAATAAAAATCATGTCAACTGGTCCACCGCAAACATACATGCCTGCATCACTCCGCCAGCATGACATGTTTACTTTTTGCATATCAACACTTTGGTTATTTACTTTGTTTTTTTAATCAGTAAATAACAACAGATGGTCAGTATAGACTCTGCATAAGGGTTGTGATTTCTCTTTGTAGGTTTCTAACACAAATATATTCAGTCAAGTAATCCAAATAAAACTGTTTTACTAGCACTAAGCTGGGACTTCACGAGGTTGTATTGCTGCAAATAATCATTAAGCTATGAAAAAAAAATTCTCTGACTACTTTGTGTCTTACAGTAAATAGCTTCATTGTTTTAACTGGCACAGTGCAATGCACACCTTCCCCCAGGACAGACAACATGCATGCACAAGATTGCACATGCACGTTGTTTGCCGACCGTCATTAAACACAGAAACAGAAGAATGGACTACTGACTACTCTGACTGATTAAGTGTGGGCAGACAAACAGATTGAAAGTTCATGATTAATACATGAGACAGTTATTACGGTTGTGCTGATGGATGATGAGATTGCATTTGAGACACCAATGCCCTTACCCTCCTCCTTCAGTTGTGTGTGTGAGAAGGCAACTGAGACAGATCAAAAAGTTAAGAGTCAAGCTAATTAATAATTATTATGCCTTTAGGTGTTTTGCTGATATCCGTCCAATTTTGTTACCCACTTACTGCAAATTTAAAGTTTCCTGCTAGCTTGTAAACCTCATGCTGGATATGAGAATCGACTCCCTTTGAGTGTTTATTGTCTTCGCACTAATGTGCTTTTTCTCTGTTTGGGGCCCATATTGTGCATAAGAAGAGAGGAAAGCACTTTTCTAATGCGTACACATAAAACCTTGTGACCTCTGTGACTCGTCATCTGCAGTCACAGAGGGGGTGTCTCGCTAACAGTACAGTAACACTAACATGTGACACGACATCCAAGTTTCACATTTGAAACATTTTAACATCCTAGTTTCAGATTTTTTCCCCCCAACACAATCTTTCAATTAAATGTGTTGGGGTTCAGTTTAAACATGCAACCTTCAAAAAACTAGAAAGCAAATTTCTATTTCAATTTAAAACAGGAACCCTCGATCAAGACTGGGTGAGCCTGCCTCAGATCATCTGCGAGTTTATGATGCGCCCATAATATTGGCGGAGGTAACGGAGAAGA